TAATTGTAAGAAAGTGGTGCCCCAAAACCTGATTCTTCAAACTATTTTGGTCTTTAATAGAACATATTTATAAAGACTAACAATAAAATTAAAATAATATTATTTATTTCTCAGCTTTGAATCTATTTCTCAGCTTTGAATCTGGATATTTATTCCTTCCAGTTTATTAGAGGGCTGACTATAAAAAATACCCTATATGTATACGTGTTTAGAATAGCAAATGCTATCAAGATGCTACTTTTAATTGGGCACAAACAGAAAATTTAGTTGATCACTGACTTTTTACTTAGGAATTAATATTTAGGAAGAACTAGGTTTTGAGTGAGTATTATATGCCAGTCACCACGCTAAAGAGACTGATACACATGATCTCATTTGGTCCTACATAGTAGGTACTATTATCAGAATACCTATTTCAGCAGAGATTTGATTTTGTACCGTGTTCTGCCAGTAAATGGAATTATTATTGGAATCCAGAGAACAGATCCTTACCACCACTGTTGCTTAAAACAGCTGTCTTTATGTATAATAGTAGATCTTACAATAATTTAAAATATCCAGAAAATTAAAGTTATAACGCAAACTTCATAACAGTGACTGGATTTCCCTTTCAGCCCTTTCTTTAATATGCCAAAAATAATTTTAGACCCTGAGCTTTCCTAAACCTTTAATCATTTATGGTGTTCTCTGCTGTACCTACCCATTATAACAATTTAAAAAAAAATTAACACTAGGCCAATTATTTTCAAAAGCCCAGAGATACTAATCAAGTGATCCTAATAATCTTAAACACTATTCTCAAACTAAAAAAGATAAATGGAGATTGAGAAACTTGTATTCTAAAGTGCTACCATCCAGATAAAATTACCCTGTGAATTAGAGTAATTTCAATCAGATCTTGTAAAATTGAACATTTTTCTCAAGACTAGAATTAAAGTAACTATAAGACAGTTTAGGGGTCCAAACTCTGAAACATAAAATGCTTTTCTACATGGCAAATTCAACAGCAGCAGGCATTAAGGGCTAAGGTGAACAGCAACAGTTTAGAAAAGTAGTAACAAATAAAATTACAAAATACTGACCTATTTGTCTCAAGGCTATTCTACCTGAATATAATAGACCATAATTACTCTTAGAAAATATGAGACTGAGCTGGGAAGGTGGCTCAGTGGTACAGTGCTTGCCTTGCATGCATGAGGCCCTAGGTTCGATTCCTCAGCACCACATAAGCAGAAAAAAAAAGCCGGAAGTGGCGCTGTGGTTCAAGTGGTAGAGCGCTAGCCTTGAGGGGAAGAGCTGAGGGACAGCGCCCAGGCCCAGAGTTCAGGCCCCACGACCTGACCCCCCTAAAATAAGAAAACATGCTAACCACTGGGCACCGGTGGCTCATGCCTGTAATCTTAGCTACTCAGGAGGCTGAGATCTGAGGATCACAATTCAAAATAAGCCCAGGCAGGAAAGCCTGTGAGACTCTTATCTCCAATAAACCACCAGAAAACCAGAAGTGGCGTTGTAGCTCAAGTGGTAGAGCGTTGGCCTTGAGCTGAAGAGCTGAGGGTTAGCGCCCAAGCCCAGAGTTCAAGCACCATGACCGACAAAAAAGAAAGTAAAGAAAACATGCAACTTCAATAAGACCTAATGTCTTATTATACAATATCCTGAGTTTAGGAATTTTTGTTGTTGTCATAGTTTTTGTGCTTGAACTGGGGATGTAAACTCAGGGCCTGGCATTTTCTCTTAGCTTTTTTGCTTCAAGCTGGCACTCTTAACAATTGAACCACAGCTCCACTTCCAGCTTTTTGGTGGTTAACTGGAAATAATCTCATGGATTTTCCTGCCTGGGCTGGCTTCAAACCCAGATCCTCATATCTCAGTCTCCTAGATAGCTAAGATTACAGGCATCCAATCCTAGATAGGCATGTAATCAAGATATTAGGATGTCTTGAGTTTTAAGTTAACATACAGATAATCTCCAACAGCATTTTATAAGAATTAAAAACTCAATAATGCTTTATTACTGGATTCCTGCATTTATGACTATAATCATTAACATACAACAAACTGGTTAATAATATAAAAGCTAGTGCTGGGAATGTGGCTTAGTGGTAGAGTGCTTGGCTTGCCTAACATGCATGAAGTCCTGGGTTTGATTACTCAGGACCACATAAATAGAAAAAAATGGAAGTGGTGCTGTGGCTTAAGTGGTAGAATACTAGTCTTCAGCAAAAGAAGCTCAGGGACAGTGCCGAGTTCAAGCCCAGGACTGGCAAAAAATAAAACAAAATAAAAATAAAAACCAGAGGTTTTTTTGTTTAATTTTTTTTATTTCCTAATTCACTAATCACTTTTAAAAAGGATTATTTTCTGTATCATGCAAATGACCACATCTAAACTTATATTCAAATGTACTACCAACTATTTGGTAATAAGGTATCAGGTATGTATTTTTAAGTTATCACACTAGAATACATCTAATAGTGAATTCAGGAAGTAGGCACAAAGTTATTAAGGGGAGGAAGTGTAGGCAGGAGATTCCAATTCAATTGTGTGACAGGAAGTACTAGCTATGAATTTTTAGAAACAGGAATACCAAGTTTTATGTGGGTCCAAGACAAAAAAGGAAAATGTGCTAGCGAATAAGGGCAAGAGAAAATTCTTTTAATGAACCATCTACCAGATATTAAAAACAATTCAAAATCATTCCAAAAGCTAAAACATAACTAGCCCTTAACTTTTTGACTAGGCTTATGTGAGAATGTACTTCTTTTTTTGAGGGGGGGGGGAGGGTTCCGATTGTGGGCCTGAACTCTGGGCCTGGGCGCTGTTCCTCAGCTCTTCAGCTCAAGGCTAGCACTCTACCACTTGAGCCACAGCGCCACTTCCGGTTTTTTTTTTCTGCTTATGTGGTGCTGAGGAATCGAACCCAGGGCCTTATGCGTGCAAGGCAAGCGCTCTACCACTGAGCCACCTTCCCAGCCCTGAGAATGTACTTCTTTAGGTGTACTGATGTCTGAATTTTGCAGTTAATCTAAAAGATGACAAGCTTATGAATAAGGTTTAACACATTCCCGAGGGAGGCAAGGGTGGCTTGTAACATTAAACTATTACATTTCCTATCTTAAAGTTTGATGATTAACTTTCTTTTCCAGCAGCACTATACAAGAATATTTTTTAAAAGTGTGTGAGTTTTACAATGTTTAACTAATAAACCATATATTTAAAAATAGTTTATAGCCAAGCTCTGGTGGCTGTAATCCTAGCTAGTCAGGAGGCTGAGATCTGAGGATCCTAAAGCCTATCCTAGCGTAAGTATGTGCAACTCATCTCCAATTAACCAAGAGCTGGAAGTAAAGGTATGGCTCATGTGGTAGAGCACCTGCTTTGAATGAAAAGCTAAGGGACAGTGTTCAGGCCTTGATTTCAAGTCCTACTACAAGCGTACGTGCACGCACACAGGCACACACACATGCAGGTCAGGAGATACTTGTTGTTCAGTGATAGAACACCAGCTCAGCAACCAAGAAGCCCAAATTCAAATCTGAGTGCTACCAAAACTAAAAAGTTAAGATGTGACATTCTGTGCCTTGTGACACACACACAAAAGAACATGTCCTACTTAAATGTTAAACAGTAACTTTTTTTTCTTTTTCTTTTTGGGTCCGGTCATGGTTCCTGAACTCTGGGCCTCTCAGCTCTTCAACTCAAGGCTAATGCTCTACCGCTTGAGCCACAGCGCCACTTCCGGCTTTTTTCTTTTTTCTTATGTGGTGCTGAGGAATTGAACCCAGGACCCAATGCACGCAAGGCAAGCTCTCTACCACTGAGCCACCTTCCCAGCCCAACAGTAACTTCTTATGCAAATTTTTGTTACTCTTAATGCCAAAATCATCTTGTAATTTTTTTTTTTTTGTATGTGTGCCAGCCCCGAGGCTTGAACTCAGGGCCTGGGAACTGTCTCTGAGAGTTCTTGTTCAAAGCTAGCATCTTAACACTCGAGCCACAGCTCCACTTCTGGCTTTTTGGTGGTTAAATGGAAATAAGTGATTTTCCTTCGATCCATGACTCTAGATCTCAGCCTGTAATCTCAGGATTACAGATGTGAGCCACCAGCGCCCAGATAATGTAATTAATTTTTAAACATACATCTATACAAGGGCAAGTCTTTAATCCTGCACTACAGAATGAAAATGAGGCGCTATTTTCAATTAGCATCTTTCAAACGATCTAAATTACTTATTGCCAACAAATACTAGTTATGAAAATGTAAGTGTATGTTTCTACTTCAGCTGATTCCTTCATTCAGTTAAGTGCAAATCTCGAAATTAGAAGAGCAAGATCTCTAACTAAGTGAATAGGTTTTTCTTCAAATCGTTGTAGTTTTGAAACAGGAGCTTCGAGACGTTCCCCACACCTAGGCCGCCTTCAGCAGGATGACGGCCAAGAATGCTAAGGTCAACTATTTCTAATTCTAGGTCACACATGGCTCAACTCTCTCAAAAAAAAAATGTGTTAGGCTTCTGTGAACTATTATCAAGTTCTGCACAACCTACGATAGTTTGGTAGGTTGAGAAAGGCCTAGAACAATCGGCTTGGCCACCTCTGAGAAGTCTCCAGGAAAAGAAAATTGGGAAGGTTTCAACTCTGTGCAAACCCGTTCTCTACTCAAGTCAGTCACACCCAACTCCCTGTCCAGTGAAGGGCTGTGTTCTAGAAAGATCTACACCTTCCCAACTGAAATGTCATCCCCTGAGGAGCTGCTGGAAGGGCCCGAGGCGCTCAACACACGCCCCTCTTCTTCGAGTACCTTCCCCAATGCCAGCACGGGACTCCCTCGGCTGTCCCCAGACAAACCCTACACGGAGGGGCCTCTAGCTCAGGCCCCCCCGCAGGGGGTCCTGGCCTGGGTGGCTTTGGCCACCAGAGGGGACCCGCGCAGGGTAGGTCCGGGGGGAAGGGAGGCGGCGCGAGGGGTCCCTCCGGAGCGGGAATGGGCGTCTCACCTTGACCCTGATCTCGTAGGTGGTGAAGCGGCCCCGGCCGACCCCCACAGTCTGCGGGTTGCTCACGTCGATCTCGAGGAAGTTGCTGGGCGGCCCGTAGGCGTCATTCAGGTTCTGTGGTTTGGTGATCAGCCGCCTGGTGTCTGCCACCGTCTCCGCCATTTCGCTGAAGCCGCTACCGCCGCCGCCGCTGCCGCCGCGGGCTCTCTCCGCCCCCAGCAAGTTCCACGGACGCCGCCGCTGCCGCCCACCGCGGGGACACGGGGTTCGCGCGCAGCGGTCGAGAGGCGAACGAGCACGTAGGACGGACGTTCAGTCAGCGAGCGAAGCTCCGCCCCACACGCTCTTCGGGGCTTCCGCCTCGGTGTCCTGAGGAGAAACCGCTGACTCGCCGGAACGCCACGCCCGGGCTGGGGAGGCCCTGCGGAGGCTGGGAAGGGGCGCTGCGGGGTCCGGGTTGAGGAGAAGCGGTGTCACGGGACTTGTGGTCATGAACGGGTTCCCGCAGGACTACAGCACCCACAATACACCGCAGCGCGCCGCCGTCGGGCGACGGCCGAGGCGCAGAAGCGCCCGACGTCCGGGGGCGGGGCTTCCTGTCTCTCTGTGACTGCGTCTGAGGAGTCCCGGAAACGGCCTTCTGGCCGGAGGGGTGTGGTGGGTGGGGCCTGCAGACTTGAAGCGCAAAAGCCTGGGCTCTCCTCAGATGGAGACGTTCGGCGTCTACTATAAACCATCTCATCTCTCCACAGTCCTACGGTGAACCACTGGAAATGCCTTTAGTATAGAAAGTAGCTTTTAGTAAAAAGTCTTAAGTGATGATCTTTGGCACAGGCATAGTTTCACCAGACACACTTACATGGCGAAAGGGAAGTGGGATGTTCAAACCCTGGTTGGAGCATCAACTAGGTTCAATCGTTTCTCCTGGCACATCTATGCTCTGAGAATGAGCCTGTAAGCTACTTTGAGAACCGTATGTCTGGGTGACCTGTCTCTTTTTTCCCTCAAAGTTGTGAGCAATTTTTCTTAAGTAGTAAATGTGCCAACATGGCACTTGAAATGCAACTTAGAGGAACTGGGAGGCGAGCGACTGAGGAGGGGGAAGAAGGGGAGGCGAAGGAGAACGTGCCTATACATCTAGCTCCTTGGAGGCTGAGTCAGGATAATGTCAAATTCCAATTCAGTGTGAGCAAATCAGCTGGACGCTGCTTTAAAAAAAAAAAAAAAAAACCCGCAAGGAAGAAATGAGGAATAACTATATCCTAGATAATCTCAAAGAGTACAATTAAGTGCAAACGTTGAACTTTGAGATAGGATACATTTCTCTGAATAGTTATTTTCCTTGATGTTATGGTCTCACAATGATTTCTGCATTTTTATTATGTTTTATTAAGCCTATTTAATTATATCTGTCCCTTAAACTGAAAGTTTACAGATCAATATCAACAGCTTCCCCTCCCACCCCCCCCACCCCCCCTTGGCTTTTTTGCTCAAGCTGGCTCTCTCCCTACCACTTGAGCCACTCCTTCAGTTCTAACTTCTTTCTCTCTTTCTTTTTTTTCTTTTTTTCTTTCTTTCTTTCTTTTGTTCTTTCTTTCTTTTTCTTTCATTTTTTTGCTAGTCCTGGGACTTGAACTCAGGGCCTGGGCACTGTCCCTGACCTCAGGGACAAGCCTGAGAACAGAAGAAAAAAAAAAGTTACTTTGTAATAGAAAGGATGAGTCCTCTAATCAGGATACATTGAACTTATTTTCTTCCTGCTTCAGCTCCTCCATACTGGAGCTACACAGTACTCCATCATGCCCAGCCAAGTTTGCCAATTTAAACTAAATGTTTACATGATTCTAAAGTCAAACTGGGGCCAAGAGTTACGGTATCTGTAATCCCAGCTACTTGAAAGCCAAAGAATATCACAGCTAGATGGATGCTGGTGGTTCATGCCTGTAATTCTAGTTACTCAGCCTGAACGTCACAATTTGAAAGTCTATGAGACACTTATCTCCAACTTACCACCAAAAAATTCTGGCTTAAGAGGTAGAGCCAAAAAAAAAGAGTTAGAGCCATAGTCCTTAACAGGGACTCCAGGGGCAGCACAAAAAACAAAAAAACAAACAGCTGTCCAGCGCCAGCACAGAAAGAAAGAGACAGAGACAGAGAGAAAGGGAGAAGTTTTCCATGACAATCAGAAAAAAAATTAAAAAGATTTTATCTCAACAAGCAAGCTCTGTGGTGGTTCACACCTGAATACTAGCTACCTGAAAGACGTAGGTAAGAAGCATCTCAGTCTTAGGCCAGCCCTAGAAAAAGTATGAAGACTCATCTACAAACAAGTGACAAGAGATGGGAGTGTGGCTCAAGCTGAAGAACACTTGCCTATCAAGCATGAATTCCTGAGTTCAAATCCCACGACTATCAAAACAAAAAGAAAAGAAAGAAATGAAGGAAGAAAAGAAAGAATGAAAAAAGAAGAAAGAAAAATTAAGGATATTCATTGAAAAATCTGCTTCCAATGTTCAGCCATCTTCTAGTGGCCTTATCTTTGTATCCTTCCATAAACATTCTAGGATATACAGCATTAGCTGTAAATAGTGTAGGACACTATGATTGTGTACACCTGTAATCCCAGTATTTAGGAAGCTAAGGCAGGAGTAACATGAGTTTGAGGCCAGCCAGGGATACAGGGCAATTTCCAGGCCATACAGATTTCAAACAGGAACCCCTCTAAAAACCAATCAACCAACCAACCAGACAAAACAAAATGAATGAGTCAGGTGCTGGTTGCTGATACCTGGAATCCTATCTTCTAGGAGGCTGAGATCTGAGGATTGCAGTTTAAAGCCATCCCAGCCAAGAAAAGTCCATGAGACTCTTATCTCCAATTAAAAAGCTGTGGCTCAAGTGGTAGAGGTTAGCTTTGAAAGGAAAATGTAACCCAGGCAGAAAGTAACTCAAAAGACCACAGAGACACAAGTCAAGTACAAGAAAGATGTATTATTGGGCTGGGAAGGTAGCTCAGTGGTAGAGTGCTTGCCTTGCATACATGAGGCCCTGGGTTTGATTCCTCAGCACCACATAAGCAAAAAAAAAAAAAAAAGGCAGAAGTGGCACTGTGGCTCAAGTGGTAGAGTACCAGCCTTGAGCTGAAGAGCTGAGGGACAACGCCCAGGCCCAGAGTTCAGGCTCCATGACTGGACCCGCCCCCCCCCCAAAAAAAAAGATGTATTGTGAGCAGAGCTAACAAGGCCAAGTTCTCATGAGGAAAGTGAGAAAATGGCACCATCTGGCTCCTTGGAGCCCCCTTTTATTTTTATTTTTTAAAATTTTTCCAGAGTTCAAGCCCCACGACTGACAAAAAAAATTTTTTTTCTGCCTTCGTTACATTTTCCTTTTAAGCTTTGAGCAAAAAAAGATCAAGAACTGTGCTCAGGCCCTGAGTTCAAGCCCCAGGATAGGTGCAAAAACAAAAAGCAAAAAAAAATAGAAATGGAACCGCAGGATGTGTACACTTTTGCAATATCACTTTATGATTTATCTATAGAGATATATAGATATACTGTACATCTGTACAGTAATAAAAACATTCAGTCATAAAATGTGCAATAGGGGGCTGGGAAGGTGGCTCAGTGGTAGAGTGCTTGCCTTGCACGCTCGAGGCCCTGGGTTCGATTCCTCAGCACCACATAAGCAAAAGAAAAAGAAAAAAGCCGGAAGTGGCGCTGTGGCTCAAGTGGTAGAGCGCTAGCCTTGAGCTGAAGAGCTGAGGGATAGCGCCCAGGCCCAGAGTTCAGGCCCCACGACCGGACCCAAAAAAAAAAAAAAAGAAGAAAATGTGCAATAGGGCTATGAATGTGGCTTATTAGTAGAGTGCTTGCCTAGAATACAAGAAGCCCTGGGATTGATCCCTACATAAACAGAAAAACCTGGAAGTGGCACTGTGCCTCAAGTGGTAGAGGGCTAGTCTTGAGCAAAAGAAGCTCAGGGAGAGTGCCCAGGCCCTGAGTTCAAGCCCCAGGACTGGAAAAAATCATTCATTCATTAATAAAATACACCATAGTTCATTTGTTCCCTGACAAATATATGTTGTGATTTCAGTCTTTTACTATTACAACACTACAGTGAATAACCTTGAATATGCCAGTCATTACACACACATATTAATAGGATAAATTGTGTGTGTGGTCCTGGGACTTGAATCAGAGCCTGGGTGCTATTCCTGAGCTGCTTTTCTGAACGTTACAGCTCTACTACTTGAGCCACAGCCCCACTTCCAATATTTTTTGGTGGTTAATTGGAAATAAGAGCCTGTCCAGGCTAGCTTTGAACCATGATGCTCAAACCTCAGCCTCCTGAGTAGCTAGGATTACGGGCATGAGATACCAATACCTACTTAGGATAAATTCTTATAAATTGAATTACTGGGTCTGACAATGTGTTTATGATTTTGTGAAACACTGCAAAATTTTGTCTGTGCAGGTTTTAATGATTTACGCTGTACAGCAATGTATACAGGAACCAGTGTGTCTACAGCTTTAACACACTTCATTAGAAAATTTGGAATCTTTACTAATACGATAATGTCCAGTTTGAATTTTCCTTATTTTCAGTGCAACTCTACATCATTTTATGTGTTTGTATATAATTCATATTTCTTCTTTCTGTGCCAATTTTTTCAAATCATTTTATCCTTTTAAATTATTTATTTTGCTTAACAAGGAAAGTTTACTAAATATAAAAGGTAAGTCTTGGCTGGGAATGTGGCTTAGTGGTAGAGTGCCTGCCTAGCATGCATGAAGCCCTGGGTCGCACATACACAGAAAAAGCCAGAAGTGGTGCTGTGGCTCAAGTGATAAGAGTACTAACCTTGAGCAAAAGAAGCTCAGAGACAGTGCCTAGGCTCTGAGTGCAAGGTCCAGGTCTGGAAAAAAATAAAAAATAAAAAGGTAAGTCTTATATAAATGGCAATTCCCTCCATTTAAGTTTAACTTTGCTGGGCTGGGAAGGTGGCTCAGTGGTAGAGCGCTTGCCTTGCATGCCTGAGGCCCTGGGTTTGATTCCTCAGCACCACATAAGCAAAAAGACAAAAGCCAGAAATGGCGCTGTGGCTCAAGTGGTAGAGTGCTAGCCTTGAGCTGAAGAGCTGAGGGACAGCACCCAGGCCCAGAGTTCAGGCCCCACGATTGGACCAACAAAAAAAAAAAAAAAAGTTTAACTTTGCTAATGATTATTTTTATCACTTAGTTTGTAATTTGTGAGTTTGAATTTATTTTTATAGCTTCTGAATTATTAAAATGGTAAGACTTTTATTCAAGAAAATTACAATAGAGGTCATATATTTTGCGATCAGAGAGAATGGGTCCAAACTCAATACACAAAAAGGAATTTATATCTAAGGAACAAAGGAAAAAGGGGCAGTGATGAAAATTACTAAGAAAAGACTTAA